GCCATGTGACTTCCCTTGTGTTCTATGCTCCGACTGGGTGTCTGCGAGGGGGAGCATGGCCTCCCAGAGGCACCCACGGGTGGGGTGTGAATTTCCCTGGTTACTGGGTGGGGGCTCAAGCCACTTGTGGGTTGGATGGATGGAGAGCGGCGACTCTAAATGTTGAACCTGGCCCTGGCTGCTGCGGCTGCTCCCTGGCAGAAGGGTACGATAATAAGACGGAGAATATCTCGCTGCCTCTGTGGGAATCCCTGGCTTGCCCACATCTTGAGAACTGCCTGTGGACGTGGTTACCTCGTCGCAGCACGGAGCTCTGGGCACTGGAAACTGTTCAGAAAAGGGCAGCAGGGTGAATAAGGCTGGGTCTTTCCGCTTGGAAAAGACCCCACGGGAGGGGCTAGGACAGAGGTCTAGAACCGTGACGGGGCGGAGGCAGAGACAAAGACTCATTTACTCTCTCGTAACACGAGAACTAGGGTCACCCAATGAAATGAAAAGGCAGCAGGTTTCAAACAAACCGAAGGACGTTTCTCCGCACTCAGCGCACAGTCAGCCTGTGGAACTTAGAATCACTGAGCACTAGGACGGGGAGGGACCTCGAGAGCCATCGAGTCCAGTCCTGGCCCTCGCGGCAGGGCCCAGCACCGCCTAGCCCAGCCCTGGCAGGCGCGTGTCCAGCCTGCTCTGGAATAGCCCCAGGGACGGGGAGTCCACAACCCCTGGCAATTTATCCCAGTTCAGCCCCCGACAGGCAGGACGTTTTCCCTCATGTCCCACCCAAACCCCCCTGCTGCAGCTTAAGGCCGTTGCTGCTTGTCCTGTCCTCAGAGGCTGAGGGGAACAGTTTTCTCCCTTCGTGCTGGCGACTGCTGGGCAGGCCAAGGCACTAACAGGGTCCAAAGAGCTGGACAGATTGATGGAGGGCAGGTCCCCCGATGGCTGGTAGCCAGGCGGGACGGGGAGGGGTCCCTGTCTCCGTCTGGCAGAGGCTGGGCATGGGTCACGAGATGACTCCCGGGCTGTTCACTCCCTGGCCTTGGCAGACAGGACACTTTGGCCAGCACAAGGGGGCTTCATTCCTTAGTCCGCCTCTGAAAACCAGGTGTCAGAGCCAGGCTTCCGGGAGCGACAAGCGGCTCAGTCAGGCACATTTCATGCTTCTGTGACAGCCAGGACGCTGATGCCCTCGTGGGCACCAGCCCCAGCATCCCGCTGCCTGCTCCTGAGCCCGCTAGCTCCCCCCCAGAGCGGGCTCCGGACCAATGCCCCAGCGGGAGTCAGACCAGCGGGTCTAAGTGTCCTTCTAGACTCACAGAGGCAGGGCGCCAGCCAATCCCTCACACCCCTGTTAGCGACAAAGCACCAGTGGTGGCAGGGCAGAGCGGAGCCGGCGGCTGAGCCTCGGAAGTTTCACTCCTCCGTGGGGTAAAGGAGCGGGCAGCAGGGTCCTTCTGCCTGGGCTGCCCCCGAGGGTCTCCAGCGTCCGGGAGCAACGCTTGCACAGCCCTGCACATCAGCAGGCTAGCAACGCTTGCACAGCCCTGCACAGCAGGAGGCTGGCTCCATGCGCCAGACAGACCCACCCGCACAGCTAGTCAGTCCAAGAGCGCGCAGGCAGGCAGCAGGGATGCAGGAGGTAGGGGCAGAGAAGAGCTGTGCCCTGGAGCTGTTCCAGCTCTGTCTTACCAGCACAAGTCTTCATGCCTCCCATGGGCAGCAGGGGCTGCATCACACCTCCCCCATGATGCTGCAGCAAGGAGAGTCCGTGGTACAGAGCTGCCCGGCAGAAGCTGGAGAGAGGGCAGCGGGTGCAGTCCTGTGTGTGCAGCCCACAGCTGCAGTCCATCCAGGAGCCTGGCTGCAGAGTTTGCAGGAGTCATGTTAACCAGAAACAGCCCCAGACTGGTCCTAGTCTGGGACAAGGGCAGTTCCTGGTCTCCAGCTGCTGGGGAGCAGGGCCGGCCATGGCAGCGTGCCCCACGTGGGCAGAGGCAGTGCCCCTCCCCTGGCCTAGGCTGGCCGGTGTCCACGTGCGGTGCACAGGTGTGTGCTGTGCAGGGCTCCCGGCGCGGTGCCCTGCTCGCCCTCAGGCCTCCTCCGCTGTGGCGTCGATGCCAGCGTAGGTGAAGTTCTCGAATAAGGCCATGTTCACGTAGGCCTGGGTGGGGAGAGATGGCGTCAGGTGGCTGAGAGCGTCCTGCCGGCAGCCTGTTCTCGCG